AACATGGCCTTGAACACTTCCAGGGATGGGGCAGCCACGACTTTTCTGGGTAACTTGTTCCAGTGCCTCACCACCCTCACAGTAAAGAATTTCTTCCTAATATCTAATCTAAACCTGCCTTGACAGTTAAAAGCCATTTTCCCTTGCTCTATCACCACATGCTCTTGTAAAAAGTCCCTCTCCAGCTCTTGTAGCCCCTTTAGGTACTGGAAGGGGTTCTTCTCTTCTCCAGGCTGAACAACCCCAACTCTCAGCCTGTCTGCATAGGAGAGGTGCTCCAGCTCTCTGATCATCTTTGTGACCCTTCTGTAGACTCGCTACACCAGGTCCACGTCCTTCTTGTATTGGGGCCCTCAGAGCTGAGGGCAGCACTCAAATTGCCTCTTAACAGCTGAGTGATGGAGGATGGTACTAGTGTGTGCCCATGCTCATGTAAGCTTTACATGAGAGGGGGAAAAAAAAGCAGATAGGAAGTCAGAGTGGAGTGACTTAGCACTCCTCTTGCTAAGGCAGCACCTGAAGTTAGATCCTACTCTTGTTCTGGGCTCTGTGCTGCAGGGAATTGCAGAGTTACCTACATTAATTAGTCGTGTAGAATTAATTAGCCTTGCTCAGCCTTCAAAACAATGGTCAAAGGCAAATTATTGAAAGCAAAATTTCTGTTGTAATAGAGGGTATTGGGGAAACAACTAAAGTAAGTCCATTAGTATTTTTTTCTTATAAAAGTATTTTGTTACTTTCAGGTGAAACCAAGTAGCAATCAGGTGAACTTAGCTTCCTGTTGTGTGATGCCACCTGATCTCACAGCATTTGCAAAACAACGTGACATACAGCTGTTAACTCACAATGACCCGAAAGGTAAGACTTTGCCAGCTAAGTTAATAGAAGCCTTTGAAGTGCATTTATTCAATACAAAATTGTGAATAATCTTTTCAAAGTTTGTTACATTTGAATCCTGAGCCAAACATTCTAAAAGTTTCTCCTTTATAAAATATTTCTATTAAGTTCTTGCTGTTGCTTCAAGAAAGAGGGGGGAGAAAGCAATCTTTCGGCTTCAGATAGTTTCTTGAAATAGTTTTAATCAGAGAAAATAGAGTAAATAGAGGAACAACCTACGAGATATTTTCAATACGTATGTTAATGGAATTGCGTATTTCCACAAAACATAGAATGAAACGACAGCTCTATTGCTGAAGGCAGTAAATGGCAAATGAAAGTCTACTTGCCCAGGATTTGTCTGTGAAATAGATTACATAGAAATGTTAATGGTCAGTTGATTTCTGAGTAGTTTGGTAATACTAGGTCTGTAAAATTACTATGCTTTAAGTAGGATTCTTGCAAAGTCTTGACTTCTTAACATTATTACAAAAAACGTTGCTGTAAATTCTTCACTTGTTTTATGTAGTGATTCATTTGCTAAATGATTGAAGAAATTGGAGGCTTTCCTTTGGGCTGTAGAACTGGGTTGCCAGCTCTATAGAATATTCTGGGTTATTATATTAGTTTCTTTCAAACATCATCTAATCTTCTTCACTATAAGGACACCTTAAATATCTTGCTGGAGTAATGAGAAGTCTTAAACAGTATTTAGTTAATTCCTTCCCTACATTCTTCATTCTGACCAACTGTTCATGATGATACTTTTCCTTCCTTCTCCTTCCTTTCCATTTGGCCCCAAAGACTATATGAAGCGCTACTTATGAAGTATAGGCTTCATAGTACCACTGTTACAACTAATGAACTTCATCAGTGCCTGAGCATGATTTATCACTGCTCTGGCAGCATGCAAGATGAATTTCCATTCAATCTGACAATTTCCATGTCCCGTGAAGTCCAAAATGCAACATGCAATTTAATAAGTACTCTCTATCGTAAGTCATGAAATGAAGGAGAAGAGGATTTGATAGAAAACAGCACAAGTAATGATTCCTTTATGCATTGTTTGCTAAGCTTAGCTTTTCTGTAATGACCAGCTGAGAGTATTGAGTCTGTCTTTTGGGAGCACCCCTCATCAATGAGATCGTTCTCTTGACTAACTTTTCGGAGGAAACAAGGAGGATTTGTACTTGTCTTCCTTTCCTGCTTTCTGGCATTTAAACCCATTCCTTTTAATGCTTTCTGGGCTTGTGGTTATTATGAGCCCAGTTATGGGAGATGCTATAAATGTTGAGCTTCCAGTGACTGCAGAGGTAACTCTGAATGCTCAGTACTTCGCTGATTTCAGCCTTATGCTTAATTCACCTCTAGTTTGTCTAGCTAGCTTCTCAAATTTAATTTTCATTTTCTCCTGCTAATGGCTCTACTCATCAACTCCATTTGATATGGTTGAAATTTCAGTTAATTGGTTTTGTGGGAAACACTCAAAGTTGCAAAAAAAGTGTCCTGAAGATTTACTCTGTAATATTCAGCTGCTTTTACCCTACATGCATTCTGGAAGGGTGGATCTGTAGAGTTAGTGGCACTACTTAGGATCTTTGACTGTAGGAAAAGGCTTCTCTTAGTAAGTGTTGCTTTTTGCAGCTGTTTACATGACATTATTTTAAGCACAAATGTCCCTTTTTAACTTCAGAATTACTTTGTGAAGCAAGTTTCCAAGAAGTTCTTCAGGACAGCATCCAGAACGTGAAAGCAAGCGAGTGGATTCCTTTATGGCTTCTGCGGTATTCAGTCATTGTAAAAAGCAGAGGAATTATCAAGTCCAAAGGCTATATCATGCAAGCTAAAAGAAATGCATCCTAAAACCTTTTTTTTTTTTTTTATGGCTGTTTAAATTTCTTTGGGATGGGGGAACGTTGGATTTTTCATAGAAACACTTTTACAGCATTTATAACAAAATACCAAAAGTTGTAATTATTCTGTGTGATGTCAGCAAGAGTGTCTGTAGTGTTCTAACACTATTTTTCTTTCTTAACCTATTGACCAGTTCATTTAAATTATGAAATTTATTTTTATTTGAAGCTATCTATAGAGTAACAGTTTAAAATATTTTTCTTTTTATGACCAGTTCACTGTAAAAATTATCATTATATTTTAGCTGCCATTAGGTAGTATAGAGAAACATATATTTTTGTTTTTTTAAAAAACAAATTTCTCTTAAATAATACTTATCTGGTAGGTGCATAGATTTCAAGCATTCAAGGACTAGTTTTTATAGAAAATTGTCATCTTTTATGAAAAACTACCCAAAAAAATTAAGCTGGTATCTCATTGCTTGGTATGTATATATATATGCAAGTCAGCTGTTTAATTTATGGGGATGGGAAAATTGGTTTATTTTTAATAGAGTGTAAAAGATCTCTATGATTTAGAAAAAAATTCCATCTTCCAAATTACTTTCTGACTGTTACTTGAATTCCTTCTGGCTTCTTTGTGCCTCAATACGCTTTGTTTGACATTCGCACAAGTGTGATGGCATTTTTGCTGTTTGAAATAGAAAATGTATTATTTGTGAATGTTTAAAATAAGATTTGAAAACAAGTGATGAAGAAATCCGTTAATCAAAAACTGAATTGTGCCTGTCTCCTTCTCAACTGTGGCTTGTTTTTTTGATACTTGTGACCTACACAATCAATTGGCCAAGTAGAATAGACAGTAAATGTTGGTGCTGTTCATTATAGCATTGTGTAAAATTAATTACTTCTTTTGCAGTTGCCTAGGAAACTTTGATGCTTGAGTGCCATTCAGAAATGACAAAACAAGGGTTAGCTTGAGGTTAGGTATCTTTCTGATTGGCAGGAGCTTAGCGCACTGGCTTTCGAATCCCAGAGAGATTGCTGCAGCTAAGGCAAGGCTTCTGGTTTAACGTAGTCTTTCTATCAAAAAGGCCTTTTCCTTCCCTTGGCCATTAAATCACAATAGATAGCAAAAGCTCAACTTGTAGTTCAGCGGGAACTTTGACACAGTGTCTAAGACAATAAATTTCATTTTGATTTCAGGCAGGGGCATTGACCTCATACTGGTAGTACTCATTAACTTAGTTGTACATATTTTGAGATTTGGACTGTAAGGGAATCAATTTTCATCAACATCTTTTAAATTCTGTCATATAGGCAGCTAGTGGAATTTGAATGCCTGTAGGTAGAGTGTCAGCTTCATATAGTCCATTCCACAAAGTTAAAAGATGAAGGTTTTTCAAGATACCTTTTGAGTCCTCAAATATCTTATTTGTAGGTGGCAAATAGTGGGAAATTTTCTTTGCTCTTCAGTTCTTTTGATAAATGAGAGAGATGGGGAACTGGAACTAGTAATGCATCAATAAAAGTTTGAATTTTTTTCTCCTAATCAAAATGTAGTGTTGTTTTTTTTTAACATTGGGCAAGTGTGTGTCAGAGTTCAAAATTACATGAGTTTAATTTTAAACTTCCCTACCAGCTATGAGTTGTGTGCTGCTGATGATTAACCACTATCTGTAAGTTCTGTCTTTATTTGGCTTATACATTCTGTATCATATTAACTTGTGCGTGTGCTCAGTTTTATAAATTGAAACAAAACAAGAATTATTCAAAAACAATGGAAAGGCTGTTCTACTGGGATCATGATTTATTTCCTTTCTGTAAACTGTTAACAATTTGCTTGCTGTAGAAAAGTACCTTCTAAGACATGATATTTCTAGAGTCAACCTGATAAAAGTGTTACGCTATTGGTTTCACATTATCTCATTCGTTTGTTTTGCATCGGTCGGAGAAATGGGATTTCCTTCCATGAGAAACCCTTTGAAAGCTTGATTAAATTTTAAATTCTTGTAGGCTTTTAGCTTGTGCTTCTCATCTCAATACATTCTTATCTCAGTAAGAGCATTTTACACTGTCACAAACAGTCTTTTGCACTTCTTCAAGTGCCCTACACCCCGCGATTCCACCTTAGTGGAACCCACCTCCCCTCCCGGCCGCGGCCGCGCTCCCCGCAGCCCGGTGTTCCCCGGCGGGGCGGGCTGGCGGGGCCCGGAAGGGCGGGCGGCAGGAAGGAAGGAAGGAGGGGAGGAAGGAGGGAAGGGGCGGGCGCGGCGTGGCGGCAACATGGTGAACACCAGGCGGGCGGCGGCGGCGCGGCGCCGGGAGCAGGGGGCGCGGGCCCGGGCGGGCGGCAGCCCCTCGGAGCCCGGGCCCGATCCCCCCGGTGCGGCGGAGGTGAGCGCAGCCGGGGGCGGGCGGGCGGGCGCGGGGCCGCCATCGCCGCGCGGCCTGGCCGGGCGGGGGAGCCCCCCGGTACCGCGGGCCGGGGCGGCGGCAGCTGCAGCGGCGGCAGTGACGGTGACAGTGTCGGTGCGCCCGCACTGCCCGTGCCGCATCCCTGCCGCCGTAGGGCCTGAGGCCATTTAGCGTTGCGAGTTAAAGGTATATTTCTCTCTGTTTGCATCTCTGTGTTACTTACAATAACTTTTGGCAGATTATATTTAGTGTTGCGGTTGCTGTGAGGCCAACTTGTTCCTAAAGCTGCTAAAATTGGTGTTGGAAAGCACTTTGGGGCACATTCTGACAGTCACTAGTCTTCAGTGTCTTATAGAGGAGCAAATAATTGAATATTTCTGAACATTGCTTCTGCATTTGCTTCCCATGGCAGCTTGCCAGGAGTTTTTAGAATTAGAAGATATTTGTATGTTTCTTCTCCTGCCTTGACCAAAAGACAGCAGACAGATAAGTAAGGGATGGTTTGTTCACACTTCTTACACACAGATGAGACTACACAGAGACATGTAATATGTTGTCAGTATGAGCAGATTTGTTTAAAAGAATTCTTAGTGATTTTTATAGCATCCTTTTTATAGGGTTATTTTACATGTCAATAGCATACCTTTTTTTACTCCTTTTCTAGGTGGGATCTGCTGAAATTAGTACTCCTGTTACTAGGAGGATGACTAAAAGAAGAACTAAATCAGTTCATAAGCCAGAGGTGATTCAGGAATCTCAGTTTGAAGAGTTGGAACATGCAGAAACAAAGTCAGATGTCAGTGATAGCTTTGAGATGCAGGTTACTAGGAATGAGAACACAATTGTTCATTCAGCACAATCAGTTGTGGAACCCCAAGTTGATGGGGATGTGTCAGAAACAGAATCAAACTGCTCTTCTGTATCTGGTCTCCAGACACCTTTGTTTGTAAGAGTAACACGAAGACGACAAATTGTAATTCCTTATCAACCAGATTCTGCTGACAAAAGAAGACATGACAGTACAGCTTTTGTAAATAAGTTAAGCAGGATTCTGGATGAAGATAATACCTCTGAAGCTGAGTCTTGTTCCTCTGCTGTTTCTGGTGTCCAGATGCCTAATGTTACCAGAACTACAAGAAGCAGGCAAAGCAAAAAGAAATTACAGCCAAATAGAGTTTGTGAAGCTCAGAGTGAAGATACTTCTGATACAGAATCATGTTGCCTAAGTTCTCATACAGAACCATCCATCACTAGCAAACGAGTTACTAGGAGCATGCAAATGAAATCACAAGCAAAAATTACTAAGCAGAGTGGGGAAGAAGATGGATTTGCTTCAGAAGATGAGAATTTAATTGAGGACACTGTTAAATCTGAGCCCATAATAATTTCTGATTCTAGACCTGCAGAACTTATCTCTGACACAGAAGATGCTTCCACTGTCATTAAGGGTAATAAAGAACCCACGTCACCTAAAAGCAAGCATTCTTCCAAATCTGCTAATACAACCCAGAGTTCAGATGCAAAAGAAGATGTTTTAAATGATGTGACACCCTGCAGTCTTACAAAAATGAAACAAATTGACATTAAATCACCTGCGAAAAAAGCAGTAAAAAACTCGCAGTCTATTGACGTTGAGCATTCAGAAGCAGCATGTGGCCAAATACAGGAAGATCAGAGTAAAATACTCGAGAGGGAAGGGAATCTAGAACAAATGGATATTTCTTTGACTGAGTGCACGAGTGTCAAGCAATTTCTAGAATCCCAAGAGCAAATAACACCAAATGAAAGTAAAAAAATTTCAGAATGCAAAAGAGCAGATGCTGAGGCAGATGCACAGCAGTCTTGCACACATTCTGATAAATCAAGGAGTAAGCGAACTAGTGCAGCGAGCAGTCTGCCAAAGGACATAGCTGTTGCTCAGAGAACTGATAGCATCGATAAAAGCAGGGTGCTTGACAGTGGTGAAGACCAAACAAAAGAATATGAGGGGTTCCACAGCACTGAAGGATCAAGCAGTGGTAATGATTCTGTTGCATTGTTTCTGAGCAACAGTGAAAGTGATGAATCTGAAAAGAGTGATGTGGCAGACACAGATACAATTGATGAGAATCTGTGTTATAAAAAGTCAGATGAGAGGACTCCTTCCCTCAACAAATCTTTAAAAAAGAGTTCACTGCATGTTGAAGGTCTTTTTGTAATTGATACTGAGCCTGGCATGAGTTCCAGCCAAAAGTATTATCTAGATGAGGTAGACCAAGACAGTGATGCTGAAAGTAAACATGAAGGAAATGAAAAAGGTGAAGAATCAGATTTGGAAGAGGCTGAAGAAGAATTGATAGATGAAGATGAAAAAGATGAAGATGATGATTTATTGAAAAATAAGACTGATGTGTAAGTATCTTTCTGGGAATAGTAAAGAATCTGCATTTTGTTCAAAAATATGGATAGGATATGTACTTACATGCTAAATGATGCAGAATAAATGAACGAGTATTCTCATCACATAAGTCATTTTGGCGTGGAAAATAGTCTTGCATGTATTATAAAATACAAATATGGTCCACAAATTGAGGGTTTCAAGGTTTTTTTCAATTTTGTATGTAGCAGGAACAGAATTCTGAAATTTTTTCACATCTGGAGGCCTTGTATGTGTCCAGCTTAAAAATCAAAATGTGAAACTGGGTTAAACTGGTCAGGCTGACTCAATTGTGTATTCAGGTCACAGTTTTCCTAATTGTGGGGTTTGGGTTTTGGCGTTTGCTTTTTTTTTTAGTTGGAACGTAAGTAACAAAAAGTCCAGTAAATTCCTTACACATTGCCTAATTAGATCATGCTTTTTAATTGTAAACAGTTGCATATAATTTTGTGTGTCAGTTCTTGCTGTGCTGTGGATGGTCACACTTCAAGGGAAACCAACCTAGCATAGAATCAGTATAATTTGGGTGGGGTGGTACTTCCTTACTCTTGTAGTCCATCTGCTGCTAAAATCCCTTTGTGTGCTTCGTATGTTTAAAGCATAATACTCTTGTTTAGGTTGGATAAGTAAGTCTTAATCTTCTTTTGATTAGAAGGACAGGGTTGGCTTTCTGGGCTGTGAGTGCACATTGCCAGCTCATGTCCAGCCTCTCATCCACCAGCACCCTGGAGTCCTCCTCGGCAGGGCTGCTCTCTCTCTGCATCCCCCAGCCTGTACTGACACCAGGGGTTGGCCCGACCCAGGTGCAGCACCTCGCACTTGGTCTTGTTAAACCTCGTGAGATTCCTGGGGCCACCCTCCTGAGCTTGTCCAAGTCCCTCTGGATTGCATCCCATCCTTCAAGTGTGTAAACCACACCACTCAGCTCGGTGTCATCTGCAGATTTGCTGATGGTGCACTCGATCCCTTTGTCTGTGTCATTAATGAAGGTATTAAATCATGCTGGTCCCAATGTGGACCCCTGAGGGACACCACTTGTCACTGATGTCCATTGGGACTATGAGCCATTGACCACTACCCTCTGGATGCAACCATCTAACCACTTTCTTATCCAAGTTTAATAATTTTGTTCCTAGTATGGTTATACAGACAAGGATTAGAACATTCCTACAGTGAATTCTAGTTTTTTCATTCTTCTCACTAAGAGTTGACACTATTTTTACCACCCATATGTTTGTGGTTTTGTTTTTTTTCTTCAGCTAGCACACTTCTCATTGTTAAGAAGAATGCTGGTCATGAGTTCTTTTGGCAAGGCTAAGCAAATTTAAGAATTCAGTTTTACAGAGTATATTAATATATAAGAATGCAGCATTGCAGTTAATATGAAAGATTTATGGAAGTGATTTCACAGGTATTTTTCAAGAATAAAATCTCACTTCATATAATGGCATGAATCCCCCTCATCTTCTGTCACTTCTAAATTAAATATTCCAGGTACCAAAAATCATTGCAGAACTGAACCTAAATTGGAAGAATAAGAAAAATATGGTTTTTGTTCATCTTTCTCAGAGGGCAATAGAAGGTTTAGCTGCGTGCATGTTACAATGTTCTAATAATTAACTATTTCTCTTTTAGTTTACATCTTTCCAGCAGCATAGACCCTGGTTTGAATATCAAGAAGCTTGGAGGTTTATATATTAGTTTTGATGCAAAAAAGCAGAAGCCTAGATCGAGTGTAATTGAACATCTGAAGGAGAAGAAGAAAGATCAGGTAATGTGTTTACAATTATTCAGTTACCTGAGACTACAGTAACACAGCAATGTTCATAATGTTGGTTTGTTTGCTTTTAAAGAAGTATCGTTTTTGTGGTTTGCTGAGAACGTCCATTCTTTTTGGCCAAAGTGTGGATTTACATTTTAATGATAAAAATTTAAACATACATGACACTTCAGAAACTGAAAAGCAGCGCAAATTCCAGCGTTACCTTGTAAAATAAACCAAAGTTGATTATACCTGCAGTTTTGCCTAATGGTACATAAGCTGAAGGTCTTGTGACAAGATATTTAGTCACATATTCATAGCCACAATGAATTCCAGTAGATAGAAGTCTGTACTCTCCCTAGTACGGAATTAGCCATTTTATTTCAAAAGCACCCTTTGAGATAAAGGGAATATGTTATTTTTGTTGAGACTGTTTTCTTTGGCTCATCCATGATAGCCCTCTTTATTCCAGAGCTTTTACTGTCTCACTACTTTGAGAGCAAGCCAAGTGCTTTCTGTTGTTGGCCAGGATTCTGTTCTGAAGATCTGTACTGCATTTTTTGTGGATCAGAGCAGCTCAAGTATTGCATTAAAATGCTTGTTTAGATTCCATATGATTCCTTTAGCAAGTTCTGTAAATATAGTTAAGCAGTAAAATTTGTATCCATGAAGTAACTGTTCTAATGTTGAAAAAAATCCTTACAGCTCTTGCAGAAGAGTGTAATAACTCCAGACTTTGAAAAAAAGGAATGTGTCCCACCCTTCAGGGAATCACTTCACCAGCTAAAGAAACAACGCAGGGTAAGTGAAGAGCTGATAATGCCTGAAATAACAAAACAAACTGTGGTAGAAAGCCTTGTGCTGGGACTGTGTGCATATACAGGCCACACTGGAAGTGAAGTGATGAACTTCAGTTTAGTGTCTTCGAGCTATCCTGTGAAAAGCTGTCCTGTGAAAAGTCACCAGGACAGTGAAGTGATAGATGATATGCTCAGATGGTACAAGTGTGTCATTGGGACAGTGCTGATGACCTTCTTTGTAAGGGCCATAACGTACGCATTTTAAATGTACGTATTTATATTCTAAATGCTTTATCCATCTTTTGTAGGAAAGAGTTCCCTCTTCTGCCCCATCCTAGTTCCTGAATGCAAATTCATTTTTCTTGGTATTGCATCCTAGGCAGAGCGAGAGAAAACAACAGGTGATGGCTGGTTTGGTATGAAAGCCCCAGAAATCACAAGTGAACTGAAAAATGATCTTAAAGTTTTGAAGATGAGAGCTTCACTGGACCCCAAGCATTTTTATAAGAAGAATGATAGAGATGGTCTGCCCAAGTACTTCCAGGTAAGGAAGCAGCAGAAGGTGGCATTGTACTGCTGAAGTTTTGAACAGCTCTTTAAGAATGCCTACTTTGTGGGTACCCTCTCTGTTGGTTTAATTTCGTATCTTAATTATTAAACCATTTTGGTTACTTTGCTGCAGTTTGCCGCTGTTAATCTCTGTATTACATATGTGTATATGCTGGGGTTTTTTTAGTTTTGGCTGATCTCATAGTAGAGAACAAATATCTGACTGAATCCATATTCGGAACCATCAGAGGACTAGATTTTCACTTTTTTTAAAGTATTAGCCTTTTTAAACAAGCATGTAGAAAGTAATTGGCATTTATTTTCTTACTAGCTAATACAGTTTGAATGGAGACGCCTACCTTTGCGATCAGCTGAAATTTCTGCTGCTGTACTTGTCAAGTGGTTTGCATAAAGAAATTAAGCAGAAGCTACAGAAATAGGCTTGCAGCAACTTTGAACAGTTCATGTGCATGAGGAAATGTTTTCATTTCTCAAAATATTACCACTTCACTCTAAAGCATGGGAGAGTGTTTCATGTTTTGAAATTAGAAAACTTAGGCAGAAGTTTTCCACATAATTAGATCTGTGCAGGTTTGTTTTCACTGCATGAAACATGTACTCTGTATCTCTACTCCTAACATGAACTGCTTGGAACAATGTGATGCATTTCAGGATGAAGCCCTTGTATTAAATTAACTGTTCTGTAGTCATCCAGCAAAAACACCACAATGACAGAGACAGGAAAGAGTTGAGGTGGTCATAAGGGTTTCCTTTCCCTTGTATTTAAAATGTTTAAAAATTAAGAACTGGATTTTATTTATGAATATGATACAGCAGTCCAGCGTTGAAAACTGTACAGTCTTAAAGCTCGGGCTCTCCTCTCTGCACAGTGCAATGAGACCAAAAGTGACTGCATACAAAACATGACAATTATTTTGGTACTTTGCACTTTTCTTAAGCTGCTGTGATTCTGATCTGCTCTGTGTCTTTACACTTGGTGCTGAGGATTTAAAAAAAACAAACAAAAAAAAGCAAAATAATCAACATCTTGCTGTACAGTAAGAATGTTTTCATTTTTGTTTTTAGGTTGGAACTGTAGTTGATTCTCCCATAGACTTTTACCATAGTCGAATCCCTAAGAAACAAAGGAAGAGAACAATTGTTGAAGAGCTGCTTGCGGATTCTGAGTTCAGAAGGTATTTAAAAATAGTTTTGTCATTTTAATATCCCATGCAAGGGAGGAGTATTTTTAACCATATAACTTTTTTTTTTGTTTTATTCAGCCTGGATGGTGGTTTTCTTATACTTCAAAGAAAAATTTTAATCTTTTAACATTTCAATAACACTGCCACTTAGAAGGCCTAAGGGATGGGATAATTAGACTGAGATAAAATACATGTTATCTTCATAAAAGGGTTTTATCCACTTGGGTTATCACTGTTGGCAGCCACTCTTAAAGACCGATTTTTTTTTTCTCGGCATAATTGACAGAAAAGAGCAGACTGTAATTCTATGAATGTTGATATTATTTCATTTTATAAATATATCAGTCTGCCACCTGTCATGGGAATCAAAATTGTGATAGAAGACTTACTTATGATTGGATTAAGTAATGTCTGCATAACCTGCAGTTTTTGGAGTAGATCCTTTAATTGATCCATTTTGATATTGGTTATTACATGATGTTAATCTGCACTTCTCTTTTCACATAATGATGTGTTTTCTTTGAAGTAGTGCATGATTTGGGACTATAATGTTAATTTTGTGTGACTTGTAAATTAACTATATAACATTGGGAAGGCAAGTTAGTATAGCTGTTTCTTAACTAGTTTTCTGGCTTGACCTGATTTGTAAGATATTTATTAGAAGGCGTTTTTAAAAATTATTATATTTGAAATTTGATCAGTTAATTTATGTTGTGGTTAATTAAGGACTTTAACCAGACACTTCAGCATTAGTGCAGATATTTGTCAGATTTTAGTGTCGCATTTAGAAGCCTCTGTACTGCTCAGTGCACAGTGTCTGTCGTAGCAATCAGTGCAGGTACATAAGAATCTGTATTAGAGGGGGTAGCAACTCATACTCAGTAAGTATATCCTGCTAATTGTTTAGTGTTCATCTTATGTCAGTTCTCAGTCTTGAGTAGAGTGAGGTTTATTATCTTGAGTTTGGTGAGAAGGCAGTATAAAAGTGAGTATAATTTGCTCACAGTGTTGTCAAAATTGATGGGTCTTCCCCTTATGAGCATTAACAGTGTTTCAGCAAACTGTCCAAAATGGGATTGCTTGTGCAATGAAGAACCCCCTACCAAAATTAATGATTCTTCAATCCAATTTACTTCCAAAACAAATTTACCTGCATTTACCATTGATCCAGTGTTGATTTCCCTTTACCTATGCATAAGTGTATAAAATCAAAGACATTTGATTCAGAAAACAGAGAGAACTCAGTTTGGCAAATTATGTGGATAGAGTACTTTCCATGTTATCTTTTCCTGAACTTTGGTTTACTATGCTTAAAAATTATCTATTTTGTTCAGATATAATAAAAAGAAGTATCAGGAGATCATGAGTGAAAAAGCAGCTTTTGCAGCAGGGAAGAGGAATCGGAAGAAGAAGAAATTTCACAATTAAGAATTGAAGAAAAATACCAAGCTGGAACAACTTATAAAACTTTTTACAGAATGCTTTGGTTGTGGTGTTTTTTTCCTTTCTTAAGATTGCAGGTCATGTGCAAATTGAGGTTTAGGGAAATTCTTGCAGTGAGAATTTGGTAGGGAGGTTTATCAAATTATCGGATATCTAAATATAAATTAATTTAGGTTTTAAAATTAATTCTATTTAAATTAATGTTTATGTAAAACGATATTTATAGGAAAGCATATTGTTATATCTGAGTAAAAAATCCAGCTTCGCAGATTGTGGTCTTCTCAGGCTTCAGTCTTTATATAATTAATTAGTAAATTCAGTTTAAAGTTATATGTGTAATTCACCTTGGCACATGCTGTGTGCCAGAACAAATTTTTCCATGTCTCGTCAAAGGCGCTGCTGGCCAACATTGTAATAGAAGGTACTGAAAAATAGTTTGGTTGTGAATGGTTTATTTCAATACTGACCATAATAGGATTGAGAATGACCCAGAATTCAGTGCCTACACGTATACTTTTATATTTAAGTGTGTATTATAATATAGATTATATATATAATTTATAAATAAATTTAAATAAGATGCAAATTACCTATTGTTTAAGAAATAATATAAATAAGTGATATTTATATATAAAATTTTAACAGTCATATGTTGTTTTATTACTTTTTACCATTTGATACTTGTCTAATCTTTTTGAAAATAAGTTGACATTGGCATCCCTTACGTAGGGTGTGGTGTGCAGGTTGTGGCTGGTAGCTGCCCTGGCATAGTTCTGCAGGTAAAGGAATAGAGTGAGTCTGCAAGGCCTCTGCTACCATTATGGAGCCAGAGATGTCATGGGCTCAGTTCCCCTTTAGTGCCAAGTCATAGCCTTTTGTGATTGTCAGAACTGTTGTGGCATTCAGTCGAGTTTTAATTACCTGGTTATTTTATTGCTGTTACATTTAGTGTAACTCAGTTACTCCCCTAAGGTAGCAAAAAGGATGGATAATAGAAGAAATAAAACTGGCACTACGTTGTCTTAAGTGGATTCGGTGACAAGGATTTAGAAGTGATTATCAGAGGACCAGTGGTGTTGATTGTCTTCTTATCACATGAACACTGAATTTTAAAGGTTGCAGATCTTAAGCAAGAAGTGCTTAATTATGCTTTTGACCAATGTTTAACCATCAAGTTTTCTACTGAGAACGAGAGAGTTGTTTTTTTAAGGATTAGTTATTTGTGCTGAAATGAGCATAGTGATATATATTGACCACCAAGTGAAGCTTGAAAGAAATTTTCCCCTGATCCTTTGGTGTGTTTTATATCATTCCAAAGTTGAACGTAATGTTTGACTACCAGAAACAGACAAGAATCAAGAGTCCTTAAAAAGTCTTCACTGGCTGGAGATGAACAGTGTCAAAGTAAAGTGAATTCATTGGGAAGTATCAAGCATGTACAAATAAAACCACCTGTCCCCAGGTCTTAGTTAACATACAGATGCTATTCTAATGCAGCTATATGTATCCTAGTATCTTGATTCCCTGTAAATGATAAAAAGCCAGTAAAACAACTATTAGTGTCTTGTTCTCTGGATGACATTGAAGCACAAAAAATTATTGCTGAACACTGAGAAGAAAACAAGGCACCACAGTAGCTGTCATTCTATTGCATCCTGGGGTGTTCAAGTGCAACTTTGGAAAAGCAGTGTATGACTGAAAGACCTTAAAAGAGAAATACAAGCTGTGGTGTTAAACAGCAAGCAACAACTTGCGGTCTGTTGCTCAAGGTGCTCAGTAGGTAGTTACATAAGTTACTTCATGTGCAGCATAGCTAGTGAGGGATTTGTTTTATGTTCTATATCCTTTCCCTTCCTTTGATCCTTCTAATACCTTCAGTTTTGTTACTCTGTGCCCAGCAAGTGCCCATGTTCTGTGCCAATGAGGTGAGATGTGCTGGCCCGTTTCCAGGGCTGCAGGGTAGTACTTGCAGGTTGTGTTGGCTGGCTTGCCCGTCACCTATAGCCTCATCTCGAGTTCAGCCTCTGTTAGTTCAGGCACTAGATACAGCATCTTTTCTTAAGCATCAACTTTCATAAAAGCACAGACAGGTAGTATTTGAAATTGATATAAGGTTTAAGGTGCTGGAGAGAGAGTAAAAACAAAATGCACCATGTGATTGCCTAGGCTTATCAGGTTTCTCTGAAAACACAGAAAACATTTATGAAGCTTTGCATATCAATTGCAAGTAATATTTTAATGGCTGTCAGACATATTTGTGTTAATCTGTAATTCTGCCTTTATTGACTTAAACCATTACTAACAAGAAATTTCCCTGAGATGAAAGGACAGTAGGTAGTGTGTTGGGTTTTTTACATATCCACCTATTGCTGTTTGGGATGTCTCTGGAATATTTTATACAGACAGTATTAATTCATTCCTCTTGTTTCTTTATGCTTCTCTTGGTTTTATTAGTATTTCTTTTTCGCCTTGGGTCAGAGATTATCCAGTGGTTGTACAGCCCAGGGAGTTCACAGTCCATCCTTAGAGATGGACCAAAAGACTGTGGTAGGGATTGGGCTGATGGTGGCTGAGATGTTGCTGGTGTGGTGCCACTAGTAGGCATGGTTTGTGAATAGAAGTAAAACAGGGTTTTTTTTCCTGTCATGCTCTCGTTCACACTTCCTCCTTTTTCCTTCTTTGGGGTCTTTAACCTCTCTGCAGTCAATTTAGTCTCATTAAAACTGAAGGTATCTTTTTATCATTGCTATTTTCCATGTGGTAAAACTGTTCTTATCTCTTCACTTTTAAGAAGTCCTTTCTTCATCACAGGGGCCTGCCAAGGTAAGTCGTATTGAAACTTGGAATCCTGCCATAGCCAAATTCAGAAGGGAGTATGAGAGCTTGTCCTGCCCAGCCTCCTGCTCAAAGCAGAGTTAGACCAGGTTGTTCAGGGCTTTCTACAGTCAGGTCTTGAAAACCTACAGGGGATGTAGACTTTCCAGCTTCCAGAGCTCCATGGACTTTCCTCATGGAAAAAAAAAATGCTTCATATCCAGTCAGATAGAAAGATTATTAATGATTGTTGTACTGCCTCATGGGCCTCACGTTCACTTTCTTTTTTTAAAATAACTCGATAAATTTGTAGTAAGCAGCATCGATCCAATTTATAGTGCTTGCTATAATCCTTGACTGTTTTTCCTCATGATTCTCTTAAAGCATTCTGAACTGCCGTGTTGTCTGTGTAATATTTTCCTCAAAACCCTTTTCATACAAATATATTGTGGAATTGTGTTCCTGTACTTTTCCACTAGAATTCACATTAGAATCTGTTAACACAGCCAGTATCTCAGGAGAGCTGTCCCTGTTCTTACCTCTAGAAAATGCCCAGCTCCTTGAACCACCACTTTTATATTTTTTTTTTCGAACTGTAGTCCTTAATTAACTTTTGCACTTGTAGAATATTGATTATGTAAATATTACTTGCAACATGAAAACATGTATATGTAAAAGCCTCTGCCTTCAGTTTTTTTCAGTAGGAACTAAGGAAAATTTTATGAAGCTTATATACAAAAAGTAGGAAGGGAAGCAGTATTTGGACTGAAATACATTGCAAGTGACAAGGAGAAACATTTTGTCTTCTGTCATCTGATTTAGTTGCTTTTTACAAGTTTACTGTAGAGAGGTTTTGGTTTTGCTGTTTGCAAATTCTGAGGAAATTTGTTTCTGTGAAGGACTGCATTTTATAGGTAGATGGCATTTTTGAGTGGGTTATTGTGCTGCATAACAGTGATGGTTAATGTGCCAGATGGTGTGTTTCATTTTCAATTTTTCCTTTATTGTTTTTAAATAAGCATTATTACAATTTGAAAGTTACACGTGCAGGATTAAAAGCAATTTATCAAACCCCCGCCCCCCCCCCAATTTAATAAAACAGATAATTTATAATTTATTCCACTCTGCACAAAATCAGGGAGGTTTGTTTAGTTCTGATATTGTCTTGATTTACCATCTAATTTGATTGCTATTAAAATGGCTCTTCATCTTCTATCTTTTTAGGTATGTGTAAGTCAGAAAAGATGGTGTTAGTTCAGGTGTTCAGTCCTTCAGTTTTATCTGCTGCATTTTGTAGGCTTGTTTTGTTGCTTGAAAGTAACCAGGAATTTATCACGGGGGCCCATTCTAACTGAAGTGCCTCCAGGAAAGACGCAGTCTTGGTTTTTCCAGTAAAATTCCTTTCCGCAGGCTGTCCTGGAAGCGTAGCGGCCCCTCTGGGCTGGTGTGTCGGTCCTGGCCGCTCTGGCGGAGCGCGAGCGCTGCCTGAGGGCAGCCACGGCACCGTGAGGAGAAGGAGCGCAGCCCTTCTCCCGCTGCCTGAGGGCGGCGGGACCGGGAGGAGAAGGAAGGGAGACCTTCTGCCGCTCCGCCCTCGGCCAGCCCGCCTTCTCGCTGCTGGAGAAGGTTCATGTCGCTGGGCTGGGCTGAGACGGTACATTCGCTCGGTGGCGGCTGGTGCTGCTGCCTCCGCCCACTTCCAGCCTTTCCCAGTCCGCCAGGCACGGCGGGAGGCGGGCCCAGCGAGCTTCGCTGACGGGAGGCGCCAGGCCGGGGACGGGAGAACTGCGGCGGTGAGGTAAGGGACGGGAGAGCGGGGCGGAGAGATTTCCGCCGAAAGGGGCGGGGGGAGAAAAAAAAAAAAAAGTAAAAAAGAGAAGACCCGACTCCGCCGGGACTCGAACCCGGAACCTTTGAATCCCTTCAACCCTCTAGAAGTCCAATGCGCTATCCATTGCGCCACGGAGCCACCTGTTGGAATCTTCGCGCACCGCCCAAAGAGCCTGCGCGCGCCGTCACGCGTTAGCCGCGAACGCTCCGGCTTTTTTCTTCCCCTTTTTTTCATTTTATTTTTGTTTAACCAGTACGAATAGGCTTCGTCTTATACGCTACTGCACAGACGAGTCTCGCGGCAAGCCCATATGTGCCGCCCGAGCGCTGCCCACGGCCCGGGTGGGGCCCACGGCTTCCTGTGCAGCACTCGCCGTGGCGCTGCGTCCTCATTTCTTACGAAGACTGACTATTTTTAAGTTCTTCAGTGATCAGTATAAAATATTTGTTGACATCCCACTACGGCGTTTTCAGTATTAATCCTTGCGTTTGGAGGAATCTAAGTGTATTCCACAATTGCCTTGTGTTGATGAACTCTTCCTCCAACCGGCCATAAATTCCCAGTAACACCCCTCCTTACCCTGCTCCCCCCGTGGATTCAGTAAAACAAGAGATTCGCTTAAAAGCTGTAATTATAGTCTGAAACAAATCTATCATACTATTTTTTTAAATCATGAGTATGCATATGAGAAACTCCAGAAGACAAGAGTATGAGGTTATTCTTTCTTTAGCTCTCCGCAGCAGTATATTCCAAGCGGAGCCTGTGCCTTTCTGCTCCTGGGGGTCTCCCTGGCCCGGCTCTCCTGGGCAGTGAGATCCGCGCTGTGGTGCCGTGGCCTGGGTTATGCAGCAGAATGGCTGTGTGAGAATCCCATGCCGCACTTCATCGTAATTTAAAAGTACTGGTATCCATAAGAGTGGAGAAAAACAGGAAAATAAGCGCACCCTGAAATCCGAGGAAGCAGGAAGCTAATCAAATCGATGTAAAATGACGTGACCTGGATACACGATTCACTAGCCATTGCCTCCAGGGCTGAGATACCGAGGGTAATGAGTAACCGGGGTGACTCAGGCACACCGGCAGCGTGTCCCGTGATTCCCATGAAGTCATCTGGAGTGCCGGCGGCCAGCAGTAAGGCAAAGCTCATGGGCTGGCTGATGACTGAATAACCCCTACAACGCTGCCGAGAAAAGGGGGTTGCTGGAAGGCTTCAGTAGTTACAGCAAGTACCAGATTACAGGTACACCCCCCAAGCTAACAGACTGTTATTGAACCAGAGCAGTTGTAAACACAGAAGAATCACAAAAATTATACAAGATTCACTTGTATAATTTACAGGGCTGGTCGAATTTACAATCTCTGGGTCTGTATGGTCTTGTCACAACTGTTTTGTTATGGACGGAACTCTTCATAGGCGCTCCTGGTAAAAGAATGTAAGGTGTGGAAACTTTGAGTCCTCAGACCTCCATACTGCATAAAACCCAGAAATCTCATTTTTAAGAACTGGGTTGATCTTCAGAGTAATAAGCTTAAATTAATGTTTGTGCAACACAAATAAACCACTTGTAAGTAACTAGGAATCACCGTAAACATCTTGTAGTTTGTGAATACCTGGGTATGTGTATTGTGGGGCGAAGGTCGGTACCTCACCAGTGTGATCTGGTAACGTGGTACCTTTGGATAACAGCTGGTGAAGAATCGGAGTTTGCTGTCAGAAGACTGGTTCTGAAGCTGTAAGAGTGAAGAATCGTGACACGTGATTCTTACTTCCTCTCATGTTTTCGTTTTGGTTAGTTGGTTTATAACGTTAGGTAAAGGCTGTTGTTTCCATTCATGCAGGACGACTGACTGGGGCAGTGTTTGGAAATTTTTCAGAAATATTTCAAATTATTCAAGTCAGCTTGCTTTT